CGGAGTCCGGGGGGCTCCTGCGCCCCGCGCGCCTTCGCACCAAGAGCGAGGGCGACGCCAGCTCGCTGCACACCTGCCCCAGCAAGCGGGACCTACTCTACCCGGAGCTGGCCAGGGTCGGGGGCCGGCTCCCCACCGACCCCACACAGACGGGAGGACTCTGGAAACTCCTCACGAGCCGCTTCCGAAGGCGAGAGCGTGGCAGCGCTGGCAGCACGTGCCCCAAGGACCCCCACGGCGGTGTCGAGCCCATCCTCCTGGGAGGGGGCCCACTGCGGGCGCTGGGTGAGTGAGCGCAGGAGCGGTGCTGGGCTGGTGAGAGCCCCCTGCACCTGTGAGACCTGCAGGGACAGGCTGCTGTGGCCTCTCCCAGCCGAGGTCTTGGGCTGGGCACGGGCACCTGGTTCTGTCCTGGTGCTCTGGGGTCTGTGCTCAGCTGCGGCGACGTCGTGTGAGCATTCCTGGTGCCGTGGGGTTGGCGGTGCTGGAGCAGCTGTGGGGTAGCTGCCTGGGAGGAGATGCTCCGGGGTCCAGTTCCCTTGCTGGCCACACACCTGGGAGTCAAGCACACATGTTCCACGTCCTTCTTGCCCCAGTGGTGTCCCAGCAAGGGCAGGGAGGGCTGAGCCTTGTGCAGTGGCATTGGGGGAGCAGGAGCTCGGTGGGAGGGGAAGAGGAGTGCTGTTGGTGGGCTCCTGAGCAAGTGGGACCGTTTGGGAGGTTGCCAGAGCAGAGGCGTGGAGCAGCATGGGGGGTTGGGGAGCACAGAGATGGTCCTGCACCCCCCTCCTGTGAGCAGCTCCCTGGTGCCAGGCCATCCAGAGGATGCTCTGCTGGGATTATCCTCGGGGCCGAGTGGAGGCCGGATGTTTGTGAGCATGGGACACTCACTATGTGTGGGGCAGCCTCTGGAGAGCAGGGGTGGTATCCCCGGTGATGGCACAGGGGGACAGGACCCGTGGTCCTCCCCAGGGAACCCACACTCGATGGGGACTGGCAGCTGAAGCAGCTCTCAGGTGCTCGATTCCAGTGTCTGGTGGGGGGTTCTCCAGCATCGGGGTTGTGTGGGGCCTCAGCCAGAGCTGCGTGAGCTGTGCCTCCGTGCTCTGTCCCCTTCCCGGCCCTGTGGAAGGAGCTATGGGCGAGCCCTGCGCCCTGGCAGGGCTGGGAGGTGAGAGCAGCATCCACAGCTTTTTAAGGCATGGAACGTGCGGAGCTGGGGGCTGGGCGTCGGGTTCCATCGCTCTGCTCTGCATCCGGGCGTTGTGGAGGCAGTTCTGCACTTGGCTCGTGTGCTGGAGGGACAGCTTGGGGCTGGCAGGCTCCCCAGGGAACCCGCACGCTCCCGGGGAACCTGCACACTCCTGAGCCAGCGGCTGCCCAGGGCAGCGTTGTGCCCAGAACACTCTCTGGGAGGGCTGGCCTGCAGGGACCAGCACGGAAGCAGCTCTGCTGCTGCCCAGGGAGCTCAGGGGGCTCCTTCCTGCAGCCCCTCGTGCCCTTGGGGCTCGCTGTGCTCCAGGGGAAGGGTCTGGAGGCTCCGGTGGGTGCGAGGGCTGCCGTGTGCCACGAGGCAAAGGGCTGGGATGCTCTGCG